AATAACTGGCGCATTAAAGTTAATGAATCTAAATGCCAACATATTACCTTTACACTCCGACGCAGTTCCTGTCCACCAGTACACTTTAATTCCATCCAGCTTCCTTACTCAGACACAGTCCGGTATCTTGGCTTTCATTTAGACCGAAGACTAACGTGGAACCCACATACTAGACTCAAAAGACAAGAACTCAACCGACGATACGGCCAGCTATACAGACTACTAAACAGAAAATCCAAACTTTCTATTGAAAACAAATTACTTATCTACAAGACAATACTGAAACCTATATGGACATACGGACTTGAACTGTGGGGGACAGCAAAAGCTTCTAACATCAAACGTATTCAATCCTTTCAATCTAAAGTCCTTCGAACAATAGTTGATGCTCCGTTCTATGTAAATAACAAAATCCTACACCATGACCTTAATATCCCATTTGTCCTAGACCTTATTCCAGAAAAATTCTCCAAATTTCACCAGAACCTTACCTATCATCCAAATCCCCTTGCACAATCTCTATCCAGCACCACCCATCCTTACAATCCTCCTCGAAGGTTGAAGCGGCAGTGGCCCAGAGACCTTTTGTAAATAAGCATCTATTGGAGTTTTGGCAATGGCCAGATCCTCCACTCAAGCCCGAGTGTGTATGATTAGGTTAGTTCTTTTGTTTATATACATTTATTTTATTTTATTGTATTTATTTTTATTTTATTTTTTTGTATTTATTATTATTAAGTTTCTGTATTATTATTTATTTTTTTTTTATTGTAAATAGAGTGTGAGTGTGCTTTCTCTGATCACTATTATAAATGTCCTTGATGTGACAGAATGTAATATTTCTAAATAAACAAATATAATCTTTAAAAAAAAAGTAATGTTGAATAGAAAGTGATAACTAAAGAAATATTTAATACAAGTAATTACCAATTGCTTCACTGTAAACTAGACAAAATTTACTTTGATTGAATATACAGTTTGTCGTTGTTAAAGAGTACTCTTTACTCATGTGATTTTTTCTTTTTAAATAAAAAGTGTGTTTATGCATTTGTATTTATTATTTACATCTTAGATTATCAGTCTATTGAATTATTTATCGTAATCATCTAGATTAAAAAAATAAAACTTAAAATACATATCCATATGACAATTGCCTTTAAAAGTTAAGAAAAATAATAATACCCTTAATTTCGGTTTTAAAAAGTGTGCAGCTGATTTTCAATACAGCTTACTACTTAATTATCATGGATGAGTGAACCCCGTTTCAGACATAACCTCATCGGTCTCAATATACGTAATTTTAGGTATTTAATTTTTTTTTACAAATTGTTTTACACTACGATATATAACGAAGTATTTTATTATTTTTTCATCTTTTAGTTACCTCTTTTAGACCCGATAGGAGTATAAACAGTTTATTTACTGTTGTCACGTTTCTTTATGACGCAATAAAAAAGTGTTGTAAAAACAAGCCTTTCTTTAGAGCATTAATTGGAGCATGACAAAAAATTAACCAAAATAAATAAAAATAAAAACGTATCAATATTAAACAAGGAGTTTAATCCTGTTTTTTGTTTTTTTATTAAGGACCGTCAAAGTGGAACATTGCAGGCAATAGAATCAAATTAGATTTTCTAATCCGGCGAAGAGTATAATACCTATGTCGAGGAATATAACTTAATATGAACATAATATTGTATTATAAGTTACAGCCCTCTGTACTAAAAATTATAAGCCAATAGATACCATTAAAGTTTTTTTTTTCATTTATTTTGGCATGGCATTAGTGCCAATTAGAGAATTTCTCAAGTCTTTAGGTATATTTTCTGTGCATACAATTAAATATTTTTAATTCCCACACATAATTATTTGATTATTTACTTTTATATAATATATACATATATCATTTTACTTTATATAACTGAAGATATTCAGAGAATAATTTAAATTTTAATTACATATTTCAGGGGAAGCTGTGGTAAGATGACGGATTTAGCAGCATAAGATTTGTGTAGTGGCGAACAATGAAACTCATTAGTATAAAAAAACAAAAACATAGGTGAGTGCTTTAGACCACATGATAGAAGTAAAAACATGAACAAGGAGAGATTAATAATATGCAATACAAATTACAAATAACAGCTCATTATAAAGAGGATGAAATGCTGAACATTTCTCTCACTTACAGTATGTAGGTCCAATTTTTTAGTTTCTGAGATATTTTAATCCATATCTTCAATAAAACTCGTTATAATTTGGTTTTCAACATTATTTAAAAAAAAAAAAAGTCCTATAAAGACAACTTCTGCATTTCAATAAATTTTACTTTTTGTGCAATTTAAAAACAGTTTGTGGTTCCTTTCACAGTTTTAAATTTCTTAAGTAAATTGCCTATTAATAATTTTTGATAGACGTTATTGTTTAAGGAATTTGTTACGATGCTTTCAAATCCATCTTAGTCATCTTATAGCTAAGGAAAGATGACAAAAATGACAATTTTCGGGAAAACTCATGTTTTATCACTTTAAAAATGAGTGAAGCTATTTGAAAAACTCATAGCATTAGGAACGGTATTGAAAAAAAAAAAATTCAGTTCTTGAATCCATTCATAGTGGCCAGGAAAATTTGCAATGGCTTATCCCCACCATTTTACCACGCCTTCCCCTATCTACATAATTTTACGAAAACTAGTCGTTTAAATTTCTTCATTAATCTTTTACTATTTTTATTTTAAGAAAAAAAATAAGGACTGATTAACGAACAAAGATAAAAAAAAAGAAAAGAGTTTCATTTAAACGTTGTAGATAAAATACGATTTATAGACTTTTTATAATCACCTAGTTTAGAGGAAAAAGGTGATCTTTATATATTATTTATCAATGATGTTTTTCTGTCGGAACCCTCGATCTTCCATAGTACTTAATCAAAGATTATCTTTCCCACCAGTGCCGAAAAATAAGCGCATACTCCAGGAAAAAAAAATGGAAAAAAGTAAGGAAGATAAGAAAACTGTACTTGCTCATTTTATGGTCTATATATACACATAATAAATTGAAAGATTTCTAAATTCTCAATAAAACGAAAAAATTATTGAAATAGAAAGTCTAATTCTATTTACCCTAATAGCCCAGTAAATTTAGGATTTGGTATAAAAAAAAATCCTAATTAGCTGCAAATGAGGGAATTAGTTCCTTATCAAACGTAGAACAAACCAAGAAAAGTCCCCTAAAATCCCATGTTCACTGCCACCCAAAATAGAGGATCAAAGATGACGACCTAACACTTTCTGTCTTATTTTATGTTTTTCCTCATACCTCCGTCAAAAACCATCTTTCTTGAATTCCAAAAGCACTGATATAAGCGACAAAGATGCTTGTTTTAGATTCAATCGAAGTTCATTTGATAAAAAAATGATAAACGATTAAATTGATCTATTTGGCGTCAATAAAGTGAAATTTTCTTGATTTTATTTCTGTCAACCCTCATAACTTTGTAGCTACTGACAAATGTGAAATAATTTTCTCATATATTTTCTGTAGTCCTTAGTACGAGGAATAATCGAAAAATTTTTGTTTTTTTAATATTTGCTGAAAATTGTGAAGATATGTTATTTTTTAATAAAAAAGACGCGATCTCAAAGCTGAATTTCATCGCGGACTTAGGGATGCCCATTCTCGATGGCGAAAAACCTAACCCTCCCTCCTCCTCCTCCCAAAATATTTTGTTGCACACTTCTTGTAAAAACAGAGCAAGCTAAGTTAGAATTATCATATATAATCTGATTATATGTCTTTATTATAAACTTCATAACCCCCTCAAAATTTCCCCTCCTCAAAAATTCAAAAACCCGTCAAAATATACTTATTACTTCTTTAGTTAATTATCAAATTCTTTCATTTTTATATTTAACTATATTTTATATCAGAGTTAATTTTGAAATGGTTAATTACTTCAAATTAAAGGTACTTTAAAGGAATAAATGCTGAAAAATAGCCATTTAAGCTCTCTTAGAGCCGTTTTCGATAAAATTGTAAAACTGTGTAAAAAGTGCCATATAAAGTGCCACTTCCGGTTAGGCGATTTTAACAAAAAATGCTGTAAAATCCCAGGTATATACAATCCTTAAAAATACAATTTGATTTTTATAAGACTTTTAGATTTTGACCTAGACCTAGACATACATACACATAGACCATTTTGCGGGACTTGGTTACTTGAGGAGACATCAAAACTTGTGTCTCAGTTGAAAATTCAGATTCAAAAATTTTCACGATCGCAATGTTTGTTCTTATTATATATTCTATATATATATAAAGTTAAATGAAAATAAAAATATATCATGTACAGAGATTTAGCACTATATTTTTTTATGTGTCCACCTCACTTATTCCTTCGGTAATGTTTTTAAGATATACGTGATAATAGAACAACGAAATGGCAACTAGAAGAGTGTGGGGGAGAGGCGTGAGTAAGCTTAGATGCCAACACCTCGTTTATACTTCCCTATGATATCACCAACATGATAGAAGCCTGATGTGTAGAAAACATGATGATATCATAACATGATATCATATATGATGTTTGGGTAAGGTTACAGGTTTCCTTCGTTGACAACTTCAGAAGGCAGCTCATAATAGAATTAGAAAACAATTCTTTTTAGCAACACAAGACCTCTGAAATTCTGGAATTTTCTCAATATCCCATAGCAAATGGAATGCTCAGGTAATTTTAAATTAGGGAAAACAGCGGACGAGGGTTTGGAGAAAGTGGTCTAATTCCCTGAGAGCTGAACATAACAGATGCCTTTAGCCTCTGCTCAGTTCGGCAAACTTTTATCATTAGCCTTCTCTCCCTGCTTCGGTAAAAAGGGAAACTTTCTGAATAGGGAGTTGGCAGCACTGGCTCCCCGTTTCTAGCAATAAAAACAGTGTAAACTTTCCATTGTCGAAGGGTGGCGGGAGGAAGGGAGGAGGCGAGGGAAATTATTTAAAATTACTCACATGAGGTTCTGGCCTCCAGATCTTCGGTTCTCCCCTGTGTTCCGTCCTCAAGAAGTGACCCTTTGGTAGAAGTTCTCTGGAAGATAAGAAAAAATAAGTATTTTAGAGAGAGATTTTTTAAAATTTTCAAGGATAATGTATAATAAAAAGTTCCAGTCAAAAGGTCGCCATCATAGCAAAGATTTCTGTCTAGCGTAACATTAACAACTCAGATTCTACAAAAGAATCAATTTTAATTGAGTCCTTGATGGTACGCTAGACAGAAATATTTGTTCTCATGAAGACCTAAGTGCTTTGGTCAAAACGTTCAGCAACCTGGATCAAACTATCTCACTGAAAATCTTGATTATACAGTGTCCTGTATAGATAATTAAATTATTTTGCATATAAAAAATCTAAAAGATGTTTATATTTTGATTTAAAAAATAATAAATTATTTAAATTTAAAAAAAAATGTTTGACTTTCATTGTCAATCCCTGGGATCATGAAATCTCAATCAACGTAAATTGTTTCCAGAAAGCACTACTTTTAATGAGGTTTTAAAATTTAATGTTGTTAAACAATCCAATTTTAAAATACTGATGTAAAGTTCAATCATACAAGTATTAATTAAAATGTTATAGATTCATGTTAAAATTCGACATTGTAAATATGATGTATTATTCGACATTTATCTTTTAAAAAAATGGAACAAATGAGAAAAATAAGCGACTCACCTTCAGAGTTGTGGATAAGTTAGTTGAAAATGTATTCGAATAAAGAAACGACTAAATGTTCGCTATTATTTAATAATGAATAAAAGTTTTTTTTGGGTGATAGATATCCAGGACGCAGTCATTACAAGGTTTTTATTAGTGTCGACGTTTCAATCCAAACATGAGGGTCATCATCAGGGTGTGGTTCGAGCATTGAAGATATTCAAGTACTACTAACCCAAGGGTAGTATTAGGGTTGTACTGTATTGTACAACCTTAATTGTATTGTACAACCTTACTGAGGGTTGTACTTGTATTTTTGTACTGTATATTGTTCCAACGTTTTGAACCTTACAGGTCTTCATTAAAACTGAAACATGGAAACTAGTTGAGGTAAGAAATTATTTGATGTTTTTTCGGGACCGACTTCCGTAATTTTTTAACTGTATATACAATTATGAACGTTACACAAAATTACTGGCGGCGAATCGCTCACAAATTTCATAACAATTTATGAGTAAAATATAATTATTTTGGAATAAAGACTGTTAAATGAACTTAATGAAAACTTATGTATAATTTGCATCAAACAGTCACAGATGAAAAAAAAAGAGGAATAGATAAAACACAGAAATCAGCGACAAAACCATATATAATCAAATATATTATCTCTTTAACCGGATATATCAGTGATATTAAATAATAATGAATCGAGCATAAAAGTATTTATAAGTTTCCTTAAAACCCTACTAAAAGAAAAGGTTATTTAACAAAATATAGAAATGTATATAATTTTTATATTTTGTAAATTGATATTTATTTATTTAATATTTATTCATATTTTTTATTGTTATTTATGGATTTTATTTTTTATTTTTTTTCCTTTTTCCTCTTCTAAGGAGTTTCTGAACTTCAGTGAACAAAAACAAATGACCAACAGGCGTTGATGACCCTGGCGGTTTTACGCCTTAAAGCCCAAATAAACAAACAATATAAACTAAGTGGTAGTTCTATTTAGTTACTAAGTGCTATCGGGCCATCACTTTGAGGCTACTTTAAAGATTAAGTTACCGCAGAAGCCGCACGATGTAATCTATACCATCTAGCTGTGTAACTGATACCTAGCAAACGTATCACCGCATTTTTAAGTTAAATAATTTTAAATTAAACTCTGTATAAAATACTGATACGTGAAATTGATTACAATAATAATATTTATATATTAGGTTTATCTATTTTGTGTGTAGGTACGTTAAACCATTGTTTGTTGTTTGTTTCGATGTCTAGGCGCAAAACATCCAGGTCATAAGCGCCCGATCAACTAAATAACATCATTTAATACTATTTGGGTGATTAATAAAAAAAAAATAATAATAATAATAAAATAAAAAAAAATAAAAAAAAAATAAAGAAAGAAATGGATTAATAGAATAAAATAAATAAATAAGGATAATAATAGACATTTATAGGTAATAAGATGTAGAAAAAATGTAAATAAATAAATAAAAAAACTTTAGAAAATAGCAGTAGAATCAATAAATGAATTGAGATTAATAAACAAATGAATTTAAAATGAAATGAAATCAAGTGAAAAAATAAATAAATAAATAATAATAAGAGAAAATATAATAAAAATAAATAGATAAAAAAAATTAATAAATAAAAAACCATTGTTGATTCTTCATCTAACCCGATGATTTAGACATTATTTCGCTAATAAATAAGCAATCATTCAGAAAATTTCAGAACAGTTATGATGAAAACACAACAAATAGTTCTTATTATAAAATAAGGCTGTGTTTATTTCTTCACCAAATTTATATCAATTTACATAGCTACGTTTCGGCCGGTAAGCCATCATCAATTAGCTATGTAAATTGAAATAAATATGGTGAAGAAATAAACACAGCCTTTTTTTATAATATTAGAAAATTTTCACCTAAAACAAGCACATATGGATTTAAACAGTATTTATATTATGATCTATTAAACCCAACAAAATGAAAACAAAAAATTAACGTTATCGAACAAATTTCAGCATGAATGAAAATCGATTCCTCCCTTACATAATACGTGGCCTTCACTAATATCCATATTATATTGCATTTGTTCACTAAGTGATATACTATACTATTTATTTTCACACGTCTATTAGTCATAATTGCTTTTTGAACTAATCGTTTAAGTTTTTTTTTGGAAGATTGGAATTGATATAAATCAATCTGTCGTTAATAAACTCTGTTGAGCATTAATGATTTATATTCACGAAATCTCCCTGCTTTGTTACAAATAAAACCATTTATAATGTTTCTTATGTTTCAGATCTGGCCCAATCCAGATACCTATCCTTCCATAATAAACTTCAGAATCACCCCAACCCTCTCGTTTCTAACCTTGCTTCCCCTTCAATTCCTGATAACCCTCCGAGACGTCTGAAAAGAAGATGGCCTCCTGATCTCCTAATGTAGACATATCATTAGAGTGCTACCATTGGGTAGTTACTCAGCAAGTGTTTTCACCTCATTATATCCATATGTTCAAATTTACTAGATGTATTTTTTTTTTTTTTTTATACAGTTGTAAATATCATTAAGAAATAATAAAAAAAATTACAAAATAAAACGCGAAACAATTCCTCGCGTAAAAGCTTTTCTTTATAGCGTCGATTAGGAGATACTTTGAAGAATGTATCAAAGATGGATTCAAGAGCAGCCCCTCTTAGACTCCTGTCACTTACTTGTATTTACAAGATTGGACAGAAAGGAAAAAGGAAATGAAAAGTAAAAGTAGAGAGAGAATAGGAGAAAGAAGGGGCGAAAAATCTACAAACGACGAAGGCTTAATAAACGAATCAGAATTTTCCTCCTCATTCCTGTTTTATTTTTTTTTTTTTTATTTTCCCCCAAGCGAGCGGAAAATGGGGAGAGGTGTCGGGAAATGAAAATTATAAACATTGTTACAGCGGCCTTTTATTAGTAGAGACCAGAGGACCGTAATGAATGCAAATGAAGGACTGAAATTAGAGTTGTGGAAGGCGGAATAGACCTCCAGGTACGGTTGGATCCTTCTCATTGTCAGTTCATGAACTTGCTTCATCTTACTCCAAGTTATTTATTTATTTCAATGGTTCTCTAATCAGAAAACTGGATGAAATATATCAATTAACAGTAATTAAAGTTTATTTGTATGGTTTCAGCAGAACTAAAATGTAAAATTTAACTTGAGTGATGAATGGCATCCCTTGTGGAGACTCTTACACATTGGAAACACCGAACGTCAAACCATTGAGAATAAGTAATTATAAAAGTTATAAATAGTGTTTATATTTCTTTTTAGATGTGATAAATTTTAAAAAGTATCCCTATAATAAAATAATGAATTTAAAATTCAATTACTATTTCCATTTTTTGTATTTATTTATTGACTTATATTCAACGTCGATTCGACTTCTGAGACCATTAACTACTACTGTTCTTAAACGTGACGAATCAATTTTGTCGATTTGAAGTATTTAAGAGTTGTTTCAATGCCACTTTTTTCTTTTAACGGTGCTACGTCTTGAATTTTGAATTTAATTTGTTCTTTTCGATTTTTTTTACATTGAAAATGTGTTGCCCTCTGAGAATACCCCTTTACTTTAACTAATTACCCCTCTGTCATGGCCAAAAGTAAAAAAAAAATGGCTGAATATAAACTTTTGTTATTGACTAAAGGAAGAAAAAAAAAGAAAAATGTTTTCTTCTTTTTTATTTGGGAAGTTTATATAATTCATTATTATATTAAGGTTGGCAATAAAAAATTTCAATTATAATTAGTTAATGTTATATTTCATACCATATGTTGATGTTTCGGGACTTTATCAGCAGAGCTAATTTTTTCATTAAAATGAAAATATCTTTTCGAATTTTTTCACATTGAAAATGTGTTGTACTGTGAGATGTTCATTGTCAGATTTTTGACTTGCTTGTTTGTTCGATTGCTGCTAGAAGATGTAGATGAGTAGACAGATGTAGATGAGTTAGTTTGGTATGTTTAATTCTTAGTCTGCTAATTTCTAATAATGGAGGATTTCTTCAACATGAGGTTTTTCGGAGGTATCAAAACAATATTGTTCTATTGGTAAAGGCGGAGGTGTGATTCAATGGCAGTCGTTCCCGCTGTTCATTCCAAATTTTATCCATCTTAATTCTAATTTATTGTGTCCATTTTGAAATGCAGATCTTAAATAAGGCGAAGTAGAGCTTCTCACAGCTTCCTTTGCTGCTTCAACAGCTCTTTCATTACCAATTATGCCTATTTGTAAAAGGTCCCACAGCAATGTTATTTCATGATAATTTTTATGTATTTTTAAGTTTTAATTATTTGTTGTTAATTTAAATT